TCCGCGGGTGAACCTGGGGAAGGAAAAAGAAAGAGGAAAGGGGAGAATGAAGAGCAGTCCTGTGTGCAAGGACAGAAGAAGCTAAAAAAGAAGCAACAGCCTCGCAGCTCTTCTGAAGAAAGCGCGGATAGTGCAGAGGCAGCAGATGGCAGCACTCCATCGAGGAAGAAGAAAGAAAATAGGAGAAAATTCAAACTGCCACAAGAGACAACTGAAGCAGGTAACAACAAACTGAGGCCGTAGGATTTCGGTTCATTATGGTTGGCAGTTTTCAACAGACAAGTAGGTGCTAGTTGCCCTCTGAGTAACTTGCCAAATTTACTTGATGGTAAAATTTCTTTTTCTCTGCTTAATTTCTTCACAAAGTAATTTCTTTTTTAGGGGGAAGCCCCATATTGCAAACTTTGAGGATCAGTTTAGTGTAAGGGAAGGAGGGGTAAGCCTGTCATCTCAGTCTTAAGTCACTTTCATGCCAATGAAGAAATGTTTGTGTTTTGCACTTGGATTTAGGAAGAAAAAGGAGCTTGCAAGTCATTCCTTAAGTCCATCACTGTGAAATATTCCCTCCATCCTTTTTCTGTAGTGCATTCTGACCTGTAGCTTTGTATTCCTATTATCCAAATTCCAGATTCTGAAGAAGATATCAAACAACAGGAAAACAGATGCAACCTTAAAAGTAAGTCTTCTAAATTGAAGAAAGGAGATGAAGAAACAGAGGGAGCAGAAACAAGGAAGAAGGAGCACAGTGAAAGAGCTGAAGAAAATCAGAGCACAGAGGAGGAGCTGCCTATAGCAGCCTCAGAGGAAGAGGCAAATCTTCCACCCTCCAGTTTGATGGTTCTCGGAGACTATGACAGAAAGCCAGTGAAGAAGGTAACAGGCTTGACTGAATTTTGGTGATAATCGGGAAGGAACATACATCTTGTTATCTTACTTTATGTATGGTAGTGCCTATTTGACAGCAGAAACACTTTGTTATTCTCCTTTTCCCCCACTTCAGGTTCAGCCTTTCTTACCACAGTGGCTTGCTCAACCCAAACTAGTGCAAAAACGTATCAAAGATAATCTGGTGCCAATCAGAGATGTCCCAGGAATTCATCCCCGGCTGTTGAAAAAGCTGCAAATAAATGGGATAGAGTCCTTTTTTCCAGGTATCTTGATAATGTTTTTCTTTCTTTCTAAACTGACTTACATAGTTCCTGCAGTCTACTGATGTATGTTTTGTGTAGTCTGTGAAGTAAAATATAGAACAAAACCAAGTTTAATGCACCAAAGTGATTGTACTAGTTTTAACTCTTCATTTTCAAAGCTTTAACTAGGTTGAGTAATTGAAGCGTGTTATCTAGTCATAAATGTAGCTCCACAAAATATGATGGCTTGAAGTAACAGCGCATAGCTGTCAGGAGAGGGAGGTCTTACTTGTGTGTCCTCCCATTTTTCCGCCCCACGTGCCAGGCTTGTGCTTTACTTCCTTACCTTCAGCCATCCCTGCTGCTAATGGAACCTCTCTGGGAAGCAGTTCAACACATCAAAGGAGCAGAAAGCCAATCAAGCAAAAAAAAAAGCTGCAAAACTGGTAGAATAATGGAAAGCAAACAAACAAGTGTATGTAACAAGTGCCAGCTCCTAAATGAGTAGAAAGCACAGCCGGAAGCAGGGATAAGGAGAGAAGGGAAGGAGGTGGGATCTCTCATCTTCAATCAACTACTTGGTCTCAGACTGAGTCAGAGACTCATCAAGGTTACATTGGAAAGCCAGGATGTGTCTTCTAAGTATGCTGCTACGCAGCATTTACCTTAAAATGTTACTGTTTATTTAGTCCTGGGAGATCTTAATGTGTTGCTGACAGCAGCTGCTTCTGTTTTCTCATACATATCACTTGGTAGTAGGTGAGTGAACCAGTGTTGTGCTCTGCCTGGTAAAGGTGGTGTCGGCGGAAGTCGTGCATCGTACGCGTCATGGAGTATGATCTTGTCACGGAGCTGATCCCCTGGCTGCTGACCCATGTAGATAACCCCAAGCCGGCCAGTTTGTCAGGGCTTGTTATGGGGCAGGGAGAGTGTTGATGGATGACAGCCAAAGCTGCTGTCTGGACAGGTCTGTTTGCTTCGATCCGTGTGTACGCCCCTGCAGCGAACTTGAGTGACTCCAAAGCCTGTAGGAGTTGTGTGTTTTGCTCCTTGGCAGATAAGGCTGTGTTGCAGTCGTGCATGCTCTGTGTTTATATCAGAGTAGTTTGTTCTTCAGAGAAAGGATGTTTACAGACAAACATTCATAGGTTTTAAATCTGCCCAGTGCCATCCTAACGTGAGAGCAAGAAGACATGTATGAGTTAAACAATATTTAATGCTCTAACATCCTAGCTGAGCACTAGAAATAGCTGAATTCTTGGGAAATCTCTGTATTCAGTTCTAAGCTCCCACAAGTGAACAAGTACCAGGTAAAACCAGACAGCATCTCTATTAACAACTGGTTTTGATTGCTTCCTCTTGTCTGTAGCAACAATAGCAACAAGAATACAGAGGTGGAAACAGATTCATTGTGTATAACTGCTTTTCTGGATACACTCGTTTTAGTCCAGTTAACTCTAGTTAATGTTTGTTTCCCTGTTTGTTCAGTTCAGGCGGAGGTGATTCCTGCTATTCTACAGAGTGCATCCAATGGGTATTTGCTGGGGCAGGGAGGATACCGCCCCAAAGACATCTGCGTCTCGGCACCTACCGGCAGTGGTAAAACCCTGTCTTTTGTCATACCCATCGTACAGGTGAGTTTACCCCCAGTGAGAGATCTGTAGG